TTAGAGTGAATATTTATATTTTTAAAATATAAAATAAAATAAGATAGATCTCTTTTATCTTTGTTGTCTTCGTCTTTTTGTCTCAAGACAAAAGCAAATATTTTTAAATATTACATTTAGTTAGTGTTTCAAGATTAAAAAAAAAACCAAAATATGTTTGATTTAATAGAAAGATAAAAAACATAAAATAAATTTATCTTTAAAATAATTTTTTTGAGAATTTATATAATTTTAAAACATGAAGTGAATGTTCTATTGGTTATTATTGTCTCTATTTTTTTTTTTATCACAAGATAGTAGTCAAATGCTACATAAAAAAATAAGCCAATAAGATTTTTTTTTTGCCCATTTCGAGAGGTCTCTTTATTTGCATAAAAACAGTTTTAGTAAAATAAAAAAATCACTTAAAATAAATTGTCTTGCAATATTTGATTTTGTTATGAATTTTAAGTTAAATTATTTTTTATATGAGGTATAGCCTCGCATATTATAAGGATTCAGCCCTTTAAATTACTTTCCATAACTCAAGTTCCAACATAGGCTGTAAAAAACAATTGTGAAAGCATCAACGTGTGCTTTATTCACGAAAACTGATCTGGACATCCTAATCATTTTTCAAGGATATAATTAGCATGGATTAATTGTTCAATGTGTACTTATAATTATTTCATATATATATATATATATATATATATGATATCAAGATTCATAAATACAAAACAAGATAAGAAATAACCTAAAACTATGAAAAATAAAAGGAGAGGGATTGTCCACGGCAGAGACATCACAGTAACTAGATGAAAGCTTTAATTTTGATTTATTTTCACTACATCAAACATGTGAATTTGGAGTGTCGGTCGCTCATTTTACTAGGCTGACTTTTGTGCAGACAAACTAGATCTGTGCAGTCATGTTTTTATTTAAAAAATATTACGATAGAAAAAACAATTCGTGTTGAAAATAAATTATGATCAGCAGATCAAGAGGAAAGATCGTGGCTCTACCCAGCCCCGCGAAGCAGGAACCGGCAATCATTGGATCGGACAAAGAATTAAGGTAAGGCCAAGTGATGAACATATAATATTGTTGTTCCCACATAGTTGGAAATAAATATAAATGCAATACTGGTCGCTTGGAGTAGAGGAAAATAATAATTTGTTTTATTTCCCTAACAAACTTGTTATTTTCAAATAGTAAATTCACGAGAGAGTTTTCTTTTTCTTTTTATATAATTTTTTATCTTGAAACTAATGCAGCTGCCTACCGCTTCCACATTGAAATGAGAATGGGAAGGCAGCCAACAAGAATTGACAAGAATAATTTAACAAAGAGTACCTTTTTTTATTGTATCACGAGAAACACATTAATTGTTATAATAAAATCATAATTTTATTTATCTACCTTTGAGGGAAAAAAAAGACCTATAACTGTTAATTAAATAGAGGATGTTTGTCTTTTTGCTTATTAAAATACGCTTAAAAGAATTCATTTACCCATGGATTTTTATATACTGGTTTTAGTATTTTTATATTGGATAATTAATTTTTTATTTTAAAAAATTATTGACATATGTTTATCACGCGTCAATAAATGGATAATATTTATGATATTTAAACGGTAAATGAAATGTTATTTGATAACTAAACTTATTTTTTATTGTGTTTTTGAAAAAATGATTTTTTTTTAATATTGCATGTGATAGTAGATTATAAGTGATTTGTTGTTTATAGTTTTTTTTTTGTAGTGTAAAAAAATATATGGTTGTTTTTTGTATTTTTGTATTTTTGATTTTCATTTTTAACCCTTTTATAATTTTTTTTATTTATTCATTCGGCAATGGTGCGGGGGTAAAATAGCTAATATATCAATAACAACATGATAATAATTGCCCAACAAAAGTGTTATCTTCTTGATTTTTTGTATATAATATTATTATTTTATTGCTGATTGGTGTCTCGGATGCTCCCTGCTTCCATCATGGCTCATAATAAAATGGTGTGAAGGACAGACTTTTAGAAGAGAAGGAAGGAAAGAGGCATTTTTATAACTTCGTGGATTCTTTCTATTCGTTTGGTGGAGTCGACAACACAGAAGTGGATCGATCTTAGCTTCGCTGGCATCTGTGGCACGACGTGTTTGGAATCCATCCACCCGAGTTTCACGTGCGCATTGCCGAAAACTTTTCTCAAGCGGTATAATTCAAATGGACTAAATTCATTTAAGTCCTCATCTACTGCACAATGTTTCACTTTAGGACATCTTATAATCATAAACTAAATGTTTAGCTGTCTCCCTCTTGTAGTTACTAAACTTGGACCAATCTAATAGCCGACCTGATAACTCACTAATCTAGAGCCGACTTTAGGTTGAATTTCGTTTTGAATTAGTTTGGAGATGGATTTGACCAAACATGTGCAAGACCCTACTAAATAAACTTAAAAGGTTTTTTTTTTTAAATTTAAAAAGATGTTATTTTATTTTTTTATTAGAAATATTCAAAAAAATATTATTTTATTTTTAAAATCAAAATAAAATTGTTTTAAAATTAATTCAAATTGACAAATTAGCAATGTGGTATTTAAATTGATTCTAATAACTATGCTTCTTCTTTTTTTTTAGCTTTTGCGAGTAGCAATTGACAAAGGCAAAACTCTTAGTCCAAACAAATGAAAAATTTAATTTGAAGCAAAAAAATAAAAAATATTTTTTAAAAAAACGCAAATTCAAACAAATTTTTTAAAAAATCAACAATCTTTTTCCTCTGAATACTCATCAAAATCAATACTATGGACCAAAAAAGTAGACAGGTAGGAATGGTGGTGTCCAACCTGGAGTCATTAGATGGAACACGCCAAAGAAATAGTACTAAAGTGAAACATTGCACAATAGAAGGACCTATTTGGTCTCTACAAGAATAAAAAAAATTAAAAGATTTTCACTGCAAGAAAAATTTAACAAAGACAAAACACTTCGACTGTCCAAAGCATGAAAGGATAACTGCAAAATTAATTTAAGAAGAAGAAAACGAGGCATCTAATTTTAGGTAATTTGATCCATTTTTCATAAAAAAATAATTAAATTAAAATATTTTTTAATAAAATTAAATTTATTTAAACTAATTAATTTTAGTTTGATTTAATTTTTAAGATATAAACTGGTTCAACTTGATTTTTTTAATTTAGTTTATTTTTTAAATTTAATTTGGTTTTTTTTTTTTATAATTTAGAATAGGTCCGGTTCGGTTTTTTAATTAGAAACTTATAAAATTAAGAATAAACCAAACCAAACTAATTAATTTTTTTAAAATTTTAAAATTTTAATTAATTTAATTAATATTTTTCATGATTCAATTTTTAAAATTTTTTTAAATATTTTTATTAAGCCGATATCAAGCAGTTTGAGGGCGAAGCAGTGTCCAATCCACATGGTCCACCTCACTCGTCGCTTTTGGTGTCCCGTGCCCATAAAAGCCGACATAACATAAACCGACGATCTTCACCGACAAATCCTTTGTTCAAGCGGTGTGTCCTTCTCCAGCACCTCGAGCGAGTTATCCAATGCTTTGTATTTTTTTTTTTTTTTGTAGTCTTCTTTTAGATAAACCATTGAAGTCTACGCTTATGAATGCATGGAACAATAAAATTAAAAACAAATTTATTTGTCAATGAATCGACATCTCAATTTAAGGATGAGATTTGATGGTTAAAAAAGTTTATCATGATTTCTTTTTTGATTTGTGAGTTCTACCCCGAGTTTAGCATTAACATGAATTTATTTTTCTTGAATGTACTTAGATTTACATAAAAAATGTGTTCATAGTTTATTTTAAAAATTAAGAAAATCTAGATTTTATCAGAAAATACTTCTCATGCCAATTAGTTAACATCTTGATATTAATTTTTATCATAAAGAAGCTTTTCTAGTTTGTATTTGTAGTTCCATCTCAACTACAATTTCTATGATAATATTAAAACGGTCCCAAGAATTGTATTTTCTTAGATTATACTTAAAGTGAGAAAGTTTTATTTTTTTTTGTTTTAATTTATAAAAGATCTTGTTATTTGTGATGTGATAAATATTATTTTTTAAAGTATTTTTTTATTTATAAATATATTAAAATATTTTTTTATTTTTTAAAATTTATCTAAACAATAAAAGAACACTAAAAAATTTTAATTTAAAAATAATTTCTTTTTAAAAATCTTCTAAAACACGAAACTATGCCGAAAACTGCCAATTGTGACGGTAACGACAAGTTTTGCTTCTGGTAAAGGCAGATTTCTTATTAAAGCCTTCTTCTTCTCCTCTTTTCCAAGGAAACTTCGGGCGAGACTTTGAAGGTATAACCTTCAAATTTTGGTGATCTTCAAACAAGCTTCCTCGTCAGGTTTACGCATTTGACAGCGCATGCTATCTTGACTAAAAATCTACCACCCATTTTCAGACATCGAAATTTGATTTTTCCACGTCTCAGTTATTTTTAGTCAAGCATATACTAGGATCAATTTGTATTTTATACATAGATCTTTACATGAGGATATAGATCTTTACACGAGAATATATTTTTTTAGATGTTAACTTCAAGAAGTAAAATCATCCTTGACCACTTTGAGGTTTCGCATTGCTGTTTACCCATGAAATATCAAACCAGCAGAAAAAAAAAATGAATAGAAAAATGCAGTCTACATTGTGTATTTAAGATCGTACACTCATGAATCCATAATTCTCAATTATATACTGCACAGAATATATTTTTTTTATGACCAGGCCATGTATTATTATTATTATTATTATTATTATTATTTTTCATATTAAAATTAAATTACCTCTTAAATTTAATTGAAAACGAAGTCGATCTAAGGATTTTACATTTGATTTGCAAAATATTATTATAATTTCTAAAGTTAGATTTTAAGAAACTTCCGTATGAACGTGGATGCCGCAGTGCCAGAGGATTTACCAAGTCACAAGAATTTATTTGCTTTGTTTCTACCTACAGGAATGACAAAAACTATTCTCAGCAACGACGAAAATCACGAAATATTGGGAGATAAGCACTAACCGGGAAAGGAAACTGAAAACTTCATGGTCAGATCAGACCCCGCCACATATAGTTTCGTTTCCTCTTTATCTTTTTTCTCAAGTCTCGTTTTCTTTCTCTTTCTCAACTTGTTTCCCCCTCTCTTATTACCCTTTCAAACATCCAGCAGAATCTATATATATACACGCATTCCCTTTTCTTCATGGCCTTTATTATATTCACATCTCTAAAGTCTTCTTGTTCTTGTTTGATATAGTGTAGTAAAGGTCTCGTCTTTGAGTCAATGGAGACTGAATTGAAGAACAACCACCAGGGAGGAGGACTGAAGAGACTTAGATGTTCAGTTCAAAACTATGATTGGGGTAAGAAAGGGACAGAAGGGTCCGAGGTTGCAAGGCTTTATGAATTGAATTCCGGGTATGATATAGCATTTGAAAAGAAGAAGCCTTTTGCTGAGTTTTGGGTGGGTACACATGGTTCTGGGCCTTCTTTTGTGGTGGAAGGTGGCGTGGAGAATGGGGACTCAAATGGGTCTGGGAGTTTGAGTTTGAAAGAATGGATTTGTAAGAATCCTAATGTGCTCGGTGATAAGGTTTTGGATAAGTGGGGTTGTGATCTTCCTTTCTTGTTCAAGGTACAATCTTTTTCGTCATTTTTTCTGTTGTAATGTATGATTTCGTTTGTGATGTGTCTCAATTTATGTTTGGGCTGAGTCATGAGTTTTATTTTTTGTAGTTGGTTCTTTTAAGATCAGGCTTCATCATCTGTGAAGTATGGTTTCTGCGTCGGTGTATCTGATTAACTTTTTTATTTGTGTTTGATTAAAAAAAAAAACCCTTCTTTTTGTGTGTTTTGATTGAATGTTGCCCATCCTTCCTCATGTTTAGGAATTGGGCAATTTATGTTTTTGTAGTAGAATTGGCTGCTCTGGGAATCAAGTCTAAAGCTGCTGAGAATTGGAGGGTCCTAATTTGTTGGAAAGTAGTGATTTATTATGGCAGTTTTGGTTTTTTCTCAGCAAAATGTCGTTATTTAGTGGCAGTTAAAGCTAATTTTCATTTTTACTAGCCTCGTTTTTATCGAAAAGAAAAAGGGTACTTCCTTTCCACTTGTCATTAGCATATAACATTTTCTTTTAACTCTTTCCTTTTATATCATCCTTTCAAAATCTGAATTAGAATTCATGGCGACCAGTGATGTGGGTAGTGAGTCAAATGAGGCTTCAAAGGCAGAAATTTTTTGTTCAAAATTACAATTGGGAGAATTGGTTGAGAATTATTGTTTGCAATATTGTTAGCATTGAATTCTGTGGCTTAGTGGGGAGAATTGGTTGAGAATTATTGTTAGCATTGAATTCTGTGGCTTAGTTGAAAGAGAAAGGGTTTTGTGCGGAGTCCTGGATCGGCATGATGAAGTTTAAATCTCTATGTCCTGGATTTTTAATAGCCGTATTGGTGCTCGGAGATAAGATCTTAGATAAGTGGGGTCGCTTCTTCTTCTTCTGAGGTTGTTTTTATTGCACCTTGACTAGAGATAAGTGATTTTCCCATTTATATTTATTGTTTTTTACTGTTTAAGATATAGATTTGGACCTTTATGTATGGCTAGTTGATTTTTCACCAATTCTTTTCTCAATTCTAGTGGACTGCTCTTTGATCATACATTCAAGGACTTTTTCGTGATAGCTGTGTTTGAATTTCATAGACTGCAGAAACTTGGATTTTTGAGTATTGAGAGAAGTTGTGTTTGATTTTCACAGTTTGGTCTCTGATAGGTGCTTTCTGTGGCAAAAGCTTTGTCAATTCAGGCTCATCCAGACAAGGAATTGGCGAAAGTTCTACACAAGTTGCATCCAACTCTTTACAAGGATGACAATCATAAGCCCGAGATGGCTTTGGCTGTTACAGAGTTTGAAGCCCTCTGCAGTTTTATCAGCCTTGAGGTGATCTATCGATCTCTATCTTTCTTGCATATCTCTATCTTGCAAATTCTATGAGTTGATTGTTGTTCATTGGTAGTTTTGTGAATCTTGGAAAAGGTTGAAGGACATTTCGAGGTCATACAGATGCTTGTGTAGCAAATAGGTCTCCTTGATTTTTTTTTTATTCCAAGAGAACTCTAAAGATTCAGTTAACTGAATGTGATTCTGCCATACCTTAACCCATATCTCCTGTTAATTTTGTTATTAATATTCCTAATTGGCTAGGACTGTGATTTTCACTTGTAATAGTTATCAGTTTGAAAAAACTTAATATCATTTGAGCATGATTTATTTCGATTGCGTTGTCAAGACGATGAGAAACTTTGAGTTCTATGTCCTTTATTGATGCACTTCTGAGTTGCTTAAATTTCTGAGAGAATTAGCTAACCATCAACAAACTGCTCCCTCTTTCTTATAAAGCATACATTTTTAAAAGAAGCCTTGAAAAGGAAATGGTTATCTGCAGACTGCAGACATATTTGAAAACCCACAACTTTTCAATGTCACATAGGAATGTATTTAATCAAAAGAAAATGCAGGTAAATCTCTTACGTATTGGTGTTTATTCTCAGTCCATCAAGGTCATGATAACTTTCCTCTGACAACCTTGACTTTACTTATTGTATCTCCAATTTTTTACTGATAGACCTTTTGAAATCATATCCATATTTTCATTTACTTGATGTGAATTGATATATTTTCCAGGAGCTTAAAGCTGTGCTTCGAGATGTTCCTGAGATCGTAGATCTGGTTGGCAGTGCAGAAGTAAACCAACTCTTGCAAATCAACGAGCAAGATCATGCGGAAAAAGTAAAATCTGTTCTGAGATCAGCCTTTACCCATCTCATGTCAGCAAGCAAAGAGATGACAGCTGAAGTAATATCCAAATTAAAAAGCAGATTGTATACGGAAAGCGAGGTTAGTTGAGCTGTTCTTTATTAAAGGCTGCTGTTTTGTAAGGTGATCTGAATGCTGTGATTAACACGTGTAATAGATTTGCTAGCAGGGTTAAACGCGTTAATGTCAAGTATTTCTTGATTGAATAAGAAGTAGGCAAGACATCTAATAATTTCATTGGCACAGATTATTTTTTTAAAGACTTGTTAAGAAATATCATAATTGATTTTCTGTCATGCTATTGATTTTGCCTTGATTTTACACCTGAACCTTTTTATCTGTCAGACAAGGCAGTTGACAGGAAAGGAACAGCTGGTCTTGCAGTTAGAAAAGCAATATCCAGCTGATATTGGTGTCATATCAGCCTTCTTTCTTAATTATGTGAAGCTCAATCCTGGTGAAGCTTTGTATCTCGGGGCAAATGAACCCCACGCATATCTACATGGCGAGTGTATTGAATGTATGGCAACCTCAGACAATGTTGTGCGGGCTGGTCTTACGCCCAAGCACCTGGATATCCAAACTCTCTGCTCCATGCTCACATACAAACAGGTAATTAGTTCATACATGTATGTAATGTAGTTCATTTGTTAAAAAATCTCTATGAGCATGTGTTAATGTTTGTTCAAGCTTGATAATCATGTCGGGCTTTTTAAAGTAAGCAGTCACCTGTAGGGCATAATACTCCTGAAACCATATGCCTTGCATTTTAAAAAAATCATCTGTTTGGAGGGGCCAAAAGTGCAGGATGACCACATTATCTTGGCATAAGAATTCTAATTCCTTGACGTTTTTATACCATAGGAATGAATTTCAATGATTCGCATGGAGAAATACTCTTTTTAGTGGCAAAGGAAAATGATTTAGCTAGAGTTGATTAGAACCTGGACCAGTGACATCGTTGCATAGAGAAGTAGTACCATTGACACTCTCTCTGTGATAGAACCTGGACCTTCGTTTTCAAGTGGGAACTCACTGTTGATTAGCCGATGGAAGGTTAGATCATTGGCCGTTGAGGAGTCGTGAATCTTGACCAAATTGTGATGGACTGCGCATAAATTGACATTCGAAGTTTGATTTCTCAAGCATTTAGAAGGCAGAGGAGATTTCTCCTAAATTTGCTATCTTTTTGTTTCAAAATCATTAATGATGATTCCGGTTCTGATCCAGGGCTTCCCTGAAATCTTAAAAGGATTTCCATTGAGTCCATATATAACAAGATACCTTCCACCTTTCGATGAATTTGAGGTTGATCGCTGCATACTTCCAAGAGGGGCATCAACAGTATTTCCCGCGATTCCAGGTCCTTCCATTTTTCTTGTCGTGGTTGGTGAGGGTACAATGTGCACAGAATCATCCAAAGATGTAGTTATGGAAGGAGATGCCCTTTTCGCACCTGCCAACACTGAGATTAGCGTATCAACTCCATCTGAATTGCATCTGTATAGGGCTGGAGTGAATAGCAGATTCTTTCAAATCTTGTGAGTCGGTATACACGACAGCTCTCTGTTCTAGGATTGATTCAGTTGTCATGCCTTCTACTATTTATTTTCAAGATTATATTTACTCGTGTATTGCATTATATATAACATGGTATTCTAACTTATCGTGTAAATGCAACTAAAATATAGTATAAGTTATAGTCATGATCATATATACTATTATTTGAGGATATATATATATGAAAGAGTTGCCTTGTTGTGTGGAGTGTATAAATGAGTGTTGGTGTAGAGATGAGATAAGGCCCGTTTGTTTGCTCGAAAATAATTTTTTTTTTTTTTTAAAAGTGAATTCCAGACAAAGTGAATTCCACAAAAATGAATTCCAAGAAAGTATTTCTAATGTTTGATAATGTAATGTAAAATAAGTTAAAAAATATTTTTCAGTATTTGGTTATGTTATGGAAAATAAGCTTGAAAATAACTTATTAATGTTTTATTTTTTTTAAATTTATTAAATTAATGAGGAACAAATCTTATAAATTAAAAAGTTGAATGAGAATGAAATTGAAAAAATATATAATTTCATAAATTATCTCAGATAAAATAAATAATAATCAAAATAATATAAATCAAATAAAAAATAAAAAAATTGAAAGATGAAGAAATTAAAATAATAATAATTAA